GGGGTGAAAAGACAATTATTGATTTACTTTTTTTTTCCAAAATTTATGAAGGAGAAAAAACTTACGCACACGAGTACTATAGGGTTTAAACCCAAAAACCACTTAGGTATTAATATTCCTAGCATTGAACGAAATCTGAAATTCTTGACAAAAGAGAAAAGAAATCTGAAATTCTTGACAAAAACGGGAAAAGAAATCTGAAGTTCGAATTTTTATCTCTCATTAGGGAAAAAAAAATATAAAAGATCATACGTACTCAAATGATGTAATTAATTGGTATGTAGTAGAACTAGGGTTTTGCACTTTATTAACTTTGGGTGTATCTCCTTGGACCAGCCTTGAGAAGCCAAAAATTCATAAAATCTATACCCAAAATCTTCTATCTGTTTGGCCACGTGTCGTCAAAATAAGGTCTCAATTATGTTAGAGATCAACTGATGTAATTAAAGAACTAATTACGTAATTAATGGATTGTATTATATGATAAAACAACCTCAAGAGGATAACAAGGGAGATGAACTATGCTGATAATTACAAATTATCTTAGGTTTAATCACAACATGACAAGAACCAACTTGAATTTAACCTAAGTAAGTTTTCATTGTTACCTTACCTACATGATTGGTTTTTTCTCTCTCATGAGGTCAAGGACTTTGGAATCTATTATTACAGGTCGATTTGACCATTGTTGTTCAGATCAGAATCAAACATGAAGCCCAGGTTTGGCCAAGCATCTCCATGATCACCGTACTCTTTTCCTATGATGTTTTAGAAAGTTTATTGTTGCCTATTACTCTGTGTGTGGAGTCTCTCCCTAGGATGATGGGATCGATGAAGTGATGTTTAAAGTAACATTTGAATTTTTGTCCGTCATTTTGTAACACACGAGAACTCTTGTATATCTAGACGCTCGATCTTTTACAAAAATAAAAATGCATCTTTCGGCAACCAATATTAGAGTGAATAACTAATCTTATTTTGAATTACAAAGCTCGACGTAAACCACGTCAAAACTTGACTATAAGAATTGCAACATGAAGAATTAGACCAAAATATTAGTTTAAATATGAATGAATTTATTTATTTATTTAGCACTCATGCACATGCGAGCATGTGGAAATGTAAGTGATTGCAACTTTATATATCTGTCACACTTGTATTTGAACTTGAAAAAAATATCGTCAAATCAAGTATTTTCATATAAGTGTTTTCTTATTTACTCTGTGTGTGGAGTCTCTCTCTAGAATGATGGGATCGATGAAGTGATGTTTAAAGTAACATTTGAATTTTTGTCCATCATTTTGTAACACACGAGAACTCTTGTATTTCTAGACGCTCGATCTTTTACGAAAATAAAAATGCATCTTTCGGCAACCAATATTAGAGTGAATAACTAATCCTATTCTGAATTACAAAGCTTGACGTAAACCACATCAAAACTTGACTATGAGAATTGCAACATGAAGAATTAGACCAAAATATTAGTTTAAATATGAATGAATTTATTTATTTATTTAGCACTAATGCACATGCGAGCATGTGGAAATGTAAGTGAGTGCAACTTTATATATCTGTCACACTTGTATTTGAACTTGAAAAAAATATCGTCAAATCAAGTATTTTCATATAAGTGTTTTCTTTTAATACTCCATGTTATGCCTCGATAGTCGTGTTTATTATTGAAGATCTTTATATTCCTTAATATTCCCTTAAGCTTAATGAATTAATTAACTCTTCATATATAGTAATTAACTGAATAAAAATATGTAGAATTAATTCCCTCAACCTTGCATGTCCTGAGAGAAAGTAAACCTCCATAAATATGAACCCCATCATTTTGAAACACATCATGCATGAAATTTTAATTTCTGGGGCCATGCCCGTATTCTGGTTTGAATATTCCTTATAAAGGTGACCTGCCTGCCTCTCTATAATTATAACTGGCATACCAAACCCTCTCTCTCTCTCTCTCTCTCTCTCTCTCTCTCTCTATCTCTCCCTGCAGATTCACAGAGTGACAATGGTGGGCCATAATCTCTCACGGGTTGCTACAAAATATTGTATGTGGCACTCCCCATGAATGAATGATGAAGCACACTCTGAGCTTGATTACTGCAACTTGCCGACAGTATTTATCATGCGTAATTACATTGTTTACTTCATCTAATTACGAAAAAAAGAAGATTAACTTTTGATTCCATATAAAGCAGCTTTGTGGGGTATATATATATTATTCGTGATGTTGTTTGGTACCCTTTTAATTTTGGTACCAAAGTTGATGTCTACATCTGGTCTGCAAATTCTGTATCCACCGCTCAGGTTGGCTTAGGAAGTACTTATTATTAATCACCTTCGAGATTGCTTCACATTTGAATAAGTTTGTTTTTTCTTTAATCAGAAGAATAAAACAAACTTTAATTAGTTCAAGTGTGCAATATAAGCAAAAGGTGAGATTAAAAAGCTAAAGAACAATGAGCAAAGATTTACCACTTTTCCACGTCTACAACCACAGGAATTAAACCAGAGTTGAGTCAGTCGAAGCCAAAGAAGCCATCGTGCATGATTAGTCAAAAGCTGTGAAAGACATGCAGCAAGCCGTCCAAAATGGGATGCTAAAATAGAAGTCTAAAATAATGAGAAAGGGGGTGGAGTCGAGTGGAGAGAGATTCATCTAACTTTCAATCAAATTCATGAGGACGACTTTATGGTTGAAATGACATAAAAATAGATGTTTGGTACCTCCTGGGGAAAACCTAACCGGGCCGGCTGCTGTTGCATGAATAAATAACAGCCGTGCATTTTGCCTCCCCATTCCATGGAGTATATGGACCATGATATACCTACCATGAATGCCAATTGAGTAACAGTATATTTTAAAGTCTTCAATTATGGGATTCATCAAATGAAAACATCCGGGTAGTGCTCTCATGTCTTGTATTTCAATCATACAAACACATGACCACTTGGAATAGTACACCGAAGATCTGGATCAATCCAAGACTATATATATATATATTTTGTATACATTGCCCTAATTGGAAAATGTCAAGTTGGTTAGGCAGCCCTTAATGCAATGATGATTGACCTTAGGTTTGGACTAAGTTTAGTAAGCTTGAACAAATTTTGGCGTGATTGATGAGGATCTAAAGTGTTTACCTGTATACACGGCAAATAATTATCTCCTAGTTGTTGCTTTGCTTGTGGATGTTTTTTCATTAACAGAGAAAATGTACCGATTTCGAAATTAGAACATACTTATTAAAAAAAAGGCATGAAATGGAAAATTGCACTTTTATTAGGTTTAATTCTAAGACTAAAGTTGGAAGTTCAAAGCGTGGCATGGTATTGAAGTTGAAACAAACAACCATATAATGAAGATCTGACAGCTAGGGCCACCAATGTTTTACAGATATTTATCTTCGGTATCTTTCCAATTATAGGAGAATCACTTGTGTGAAAGGGAAATAACACTATTTTGCTATTTTTGACCGATCACGACATGTCACGCACCATAATCGTTGTATACAGATTTTTTATGCTATTATATGCATTAATTAAATGAGTTGGTGCCCATTGATACTTAAAAAAGTAAGTTTATCTGTTAGTTTTCCAAAATAATGTATAATTATAAGTTTATGAAAAAGCTTGTGAGGTTTTTAGTTTTTCTTTTGATGTCAACTTTGTGAGTGAATATTAATATACACATCATCTAATTTATGCTATTATTGTAGTAGGGTATATAATATATTTAAAGTCCATTAGAGATTAATTATATATTTTTAAATGATATAGATTAAATATTTAAATTCATAAAGCGTCAGAATTAAGGGGATTTAAGTCAATGTATATATCCATCTAATAATGAATATAATGCAGACTAAAATTAATTTTATAAATTCGGCAACTAGCTAGTATAATAGTCAACATAAAGTTGGTATGCATTATTGAATTTTTTTGGACCCATAGACTTTATCTGCATGGATGATGCCTGCCTACCTTTTTCCACAGAGGAAGGCCATCTGGCACTCAAAAGGTTAGTCAAGTTAGGCTCCTTCTTCTTCGGCTCAGGTCGGCTATGAATACAAATTACAAAGTTAAAAGATCATTTTGTGGTTGGGTTCGGGGCCTTTTCCATATCATTCTTTTATCCCTCTAATTCTCATTCTCATTCTCATTTTCATGGTTAACTTGGGAGGTGACTGAGGCTAAAGATTAGATCCTGCATTCACATTGGATCTCAAGTTTTCAACAAGTCTCATTCCGGAGAAAAACTTGTTTACACCCGCTTCATGAAAACGATTATCTCACACTTTCTATATTATGAGAATGACACGTTATAAGATGCTCGTTTCATAAAACAGTTATCTCACACTTACTATATATCTATCTCAGACTTACTATATATCATGTGAATGCCACATAAAACCAATGTATACAAATTTGTCCCCTTTCTCCAATATTGCCGCTCCTCGTGAAGTCACATCTCGAAAAGAACAGAAGATTTTGAGAAAGAGTGGCATCCTTTAATGATGGAGTTGTCACCAGCATCGCAGGAAGACAAAAAATTATTTTTGCCAACAAAGGGTAGGTAAAAACTGACATTCACAGTAAAATGTAGGGATATATGTTCTACTCTAAAGTTAGAAATCTCACATCAAAAGAAACAATAGCGAAAAATATATTTTATTTTTTGAAATCTCTTCCTAGCAGTATAGTTGTAGTTGGACTCTTTTGTATTCAGAGATAATTATTAATAATATTTTAATTATATTATCAAAAGATTTGACGGGGAAAATGAAGAAGGATATTGAAATCCTCTATCTTTTGGGCCTTAAAGTAAACACAAAATTGTTCTTTGGGCTAATTTAAATATTCCCGTTTTACCTCTTAAGCATTAGGGTTCCCAAATTTCAAAATTAGGCCCAATTTGTTATCGATCCAAACACTCACATTTTGGGCCGAATGTATGTCACCCATCTTTTAGGGTTTTAGATAGTTTTGGAGGCTGATCTCAAATACTATAAATTTGCAATTCTAGGGTTTGTGGAACTTCATTTCGGGGCCGCTAACAGAGCACAGAGACATCTCAGCGGGAAGCCATGGGAAGAGTCATCAGAGCTCAGCGTAAGGGTGCCGGTTCCGTCTTCAAGTCCCACACCCACCACCGCAAGGGTCCGGCCCGGTTCCGGAGCCTCGACTTCGGCGAGCGCAACGGCTACCTCAAGGGCGTCGTCACTGAGATTATCCACGACCCGGGTCGTGGTGCCCCTCTCGCTCGAGTCAGCTTCCGCCATCCTTTCCGATACAAGAAGCAGAACGAGCTCTTCGTCGCCGCTGAGGGTATCTACACTGGCCAGTTCATCTATTGTGGGAAGAAGGCCAATCTGGTCGTCGGAAATGTTTTGCCTCTCAGATCGATCCCAGAAGGAGCTGTAGTCTGCAACGTCGAGCACCATGTTGGTGACCGTGGAACCCTTGCTAGGGCTTCTGGTGACTACGCTGTTGTTATCAGCCACAACCCTGATAACGATACCTCCAGGTATCTCTCTCTCCAATCGTTTTGTTTTCGTTTGATTAATTTCTTTGGTATTGCGGAAGTGTAATTATATCTTCTTTGATGAAATATAGCTTGTTTTTCAATAATGAAGCATGAAAGATGGCATTTTTATTGAAAATCCCACTTGGGTATATTCATACTCACAGTCTGAGATTAAGGGACACTAGCTGGTGTTTTGTTTCTTGGGTTTTGTTGATTTGGCTGGCATTTTGAGTTATGCTTGTGGTGGCTAGTCATAGTGGTGTGGATATGAATCAATGTAGTTGTAAGATCGGATTTTGAATTTTAGATGGATTGGGTCTCAACGTTTCATTTTAGATGAATCAATGTGCTTTTTCTGATGGAGATTATGATTGTTTTATGTTATTGTTCAGAAGATTGTTGAAATAAGGAAAATTAGAGGTTGAGAAAGTACTAGTCCAATGTGATCATTCGATTTTTGAAATCTGTTACTGAATGTGCTTTTCAATTTATTTTGTCATTAACTTCTATGTTTTCTTTCTCAACGTCTTTTACTTGGAAATGGTATACATTGACATCTGTTACTGAATGTGCTTTTCAATTTATTTTATAATTAACTTCTATGTTTTCTTTCTCAACGTCTTTTACTTGGAAATGGTATACATTGATGATTGTAAGGTTTTATGTTAATTGTGTTTGCCCAAATGATGGATGGTATTTGCTGCTTTGTTTTTCATTTACTTGGTGAGGGACTAACTGATTATGTCTGTTTACGTGTTCTTAACAGGATCAAGCTTCCTTCTGGTGCGAAGAAGATTGTGCCAAGTGGCTGCAGGGCAATGATTGGGCAAGTTGCCGGCGGTGGCAGGACTGAAAAGCCAATGCTCAAGGCTGGTAATGCATACCACAAATTCAGAGTGAAGAGGAACTGCTGGCCTAAGGTTCGTGGTGTGGCTATGAATCCAGTTGAGCATCCTCACGGAGGAGGTAACCACCAGCATATTGGACATGCAAGTACAGTCAGGCGTGATGCTCCTCCTGGCCAGAAGGTTGGTCTCATTGCTGCAAGGAGAACAGGAAGACTTAGAGGACAAGCTGCTGCCACTGCCTCCAAGGCTGACAAGGCTTAAGACCAATTTTATATTTATATGTTCTGTTTTTGGACCGCCAAATCTTTTAAGAGTGCTCAACATTACCATTTTCCCTTTTTCTGAATTTGCTATTTTGGTACTGTTTACTTTGTGTACTAGTTTTTATCCGACACTAGTGGGTTCATTTGGCAGAAATTTTGTTTGGTTATCCTTTATGCCCAAGTGTTCAATAATTTCAAGGCTTTATATAATTACAATTTAAAACGCTACTCAAATTCTCATCTTAGAGTTGGTGAGATGAATACCTTTGACCTAAACGGTATCAGTTTAGGTTCCACTCAACGAGTGTGTTGTGAGGTTGCCAGTTTAGTTCCATGGAATATGTTAACAAGCAAGGTTAATACAGAAAACATGAAATTTATTTGAAATTATGGTCGTATTAGATTTGATTGTAGACCTGTGGTCTCTAATGGTTCATGTGGGTAAGTAATTCCAAATGACCAAAATGTATTTTTATTGAGAGGGGCGCATTCACTAAATGGATGCTAGGATTCGAACCTAGGACATTTTTTGATGGAGTATTTGCTTTAAACCACTACACTAGTGTAGTGGGTTCTTTGCCCAAATGTACAGATTTGGATGACATTATGATGCTTAATTGTTGCAGATGACAAATTCAAATTCTTCTTTTCAAATACCTCCATTCAAATCTTCCCATTCCTATATTTTGATTTCATGCAATGGACATTCTGGATATTATTATTGTGATAGGTCGGCAACTTGGGATTGCTTCACAAGATAGGAAACGTATCAGAACGAAAAAGAAGATTACTTTAAATATGAATACTATTCATCAAAGAATTCATAGCTGGTTCAGTATGAGTTGTACATACAGTTTCACTTGGTTTGAAATCAGCTCCCACTAAACAGGTTCTATCAAGTTCTCCACAAGCTGCCATAAGATTTTGAAAAACAGGGTTCGACCTATCAGTTCTGTTGATCAGAATGCTACCCTCATGAACTAACCGTACAAAAGTGTCTTTCTGAAACCTTTCTGCATTTTCCTTGAACAACTTCAACCATGCTTTCTTCGAGAAGAATGTCTGCAGCTCACCGAGATTTGGATCCGTAATACAGGAGAGAGCAGCAGCATAGTCATCTTTCTCTAGCTTTGTGCAAAACCTTTCCTTGACAAGAGGAGGAGGTGGACTCCGGCCTGCCCCCGTCAAGTGCGTCCAAGTTATGTCTAGTAGTAGCTCACCCTGAAAATCATGAATGGATCCCATTTGTGAATAAATTATAATTGTAAATCCCTTATTCTGGGTTGTTGGGGTAAAGAGAAAAGTTAACCCAAAAAGTACAACCATGCATCACCCAAGAAGTTTTATATATGATAATATTAATGTAAACATTCGCTTCCTACACATTTCGAAACAAGTGCTGGCCATATCCCAGGAGGTGAAAGAGAAAATATTAAGAAAATAAATTATACCTTTCCAGCTTCACAAGCATCCAATATCATCCGAAGATGGCGTTTAGCATTGAATTGATACCCATGGTGTAGCATCATTTTGTAAACAAACTCGAAATCGTCCCACCTCTTTTCTGTGATGCAGGCGTCTAACAAAGTGTTGAACGTGTAGCTATCTGGTATCACCCGAACCTTATAGTCAGATTTGCTGCTGATATTATTCCCATCATCTAACATCTTCAGGAACAGCTCTTTTGCTTCTTCAAACATCCCATGGTCCAAATAACCTTTCAGCATTGTGTTGCAAGTAACAAGATTTGGGGAGCAAAAGTTCTCCATTTGTTTGAAAATATATGCCCCATTTTTAATGCTTCCAGCGTCCAAACAAGCTTGAATTAAACCAGTGTAAGTCACTACTAGAGGCTTATTTGCAACCTTACATATCTTCTCAATCTGTTGCAAGAAAGAATGACACAATAAGTGATCCAACTGTTAACTACGGATCAAATATGAGAACATATTATGTATACTACCAGGTAGGTCATAGTTGAGCCACATCCAATTAATGTAAGCATACTTACACAAATACACAAAATATTAAGAATACAGGGCAAATAATTATCGGCACATCACAGCATTGGCTTTATACAACACGCTGGACAACATGCATCTTCTCCTTTACATCAGATCTGTATAATTTCAGAATTAAAAAAAAGAATAATATTGCAGTAGTGGGGGGAGGGGTGATTACTTTCTGGCCATTCCCTCACTAATTGATAAATTAACATGAAAAGGTAAAATCACTATATGACTTATTTATTGGACCCGAATTCTTTTATGATTGACAAAAATCAGCCTTGCAGCATGTTGCAAATCAATTCTTGGAACATCATATCAGCATAATGCATGCTGAAGTGCCAATGCAAAAAAAAAAAAAAGGCAATACAATAACACAATTTTCACTTATATAATGAAACAGATGCAGCTCAAATTACCTGCATCAGTGCTTCTTGGCACCGTCCAGCACTACAAAGACATCGAGCAAAGTCATAATAAAGAGCTGCAGAACCTACTATTCCTCGTCTTTCCATGTTCTGAACAACCAATACAGCTTCATCTACTTTACCTTCTCTCCAAAGGGTGTTCACAATAACTGTATTCATAAGGAACCATCAATATTTATCCCTCTATAACAAAATGCAAAGTGAGACAGTAGTCCTGTAAAATCCCATAAAATACCTCTGTAAGTTAAAGCATTTGGTATAGAAGATTTCTGCACTTTCTTGAAAAAATCATGAACCAAGTTGTACTTGCCACATGCTAACATCACCTGATTCAGTGAAAACATTGTCAGGTGTGCATAACGCGAAATAGATATTCAGGGTAATCTAGCAGCCTAGTACAAGAAAGAAACTAGCGGTAACTCATACCTCCATGACAAGTCCATATGTTGTAGTCGCAGGCTGTAGGCCTTGTTGCTGTAACTGCTGCAAAACCCAAAATGCTCCTTCCCATTGTTTGCGCTGGACACAAGCATTTAATACCTGCATATACATACAAAATATTATACCAATGTATATAGAACTGCACTAATTTTTACATCAACTACCAAGCTCTTCAAAGAATTTACATCAATCAGAGGAACCTCTTCTATTAGCAATATGATATTAAAAAGGATGAAGTTAAAAGACATCCTTTTAGCTTAATAGGTGTCATACCAAGGGTGAAGATGCAATGAATGGGAAAAACCATGTATGCATTTCTAAACTAATGTGCACAAAAACTCTACAATTATGTACTGTTTAAGAAATTTAACGGTAACTATTTTAAGGGTCCAACTGATTGTAGGCTGTGCAGCACACTGGTTGACACAAGTGTCGCAACCTGACATGTCCAACACATCAAAAAAAATTATTTTAGTATTCTACAAATGACAACTATTCAATCATTCTGATCACAAATCTAGAAAAGGCTTCAAAGAGAGACTTCAGATTTGAATGTGTCAGCCAACTAATAGTCACTTGGGTTCTGAAATCACAAAGCAATGTAGTTATAAATCATAATCTTCCGAACATAAATTATCACCAAGTACCACTTACCGCATGGAAGACAACAATATCTGGTTCCAACCGAGGATCCCACTTCCCAAGTGCCCCTGTTTTGAACTTCTTCTTGGGAGGAGATCGCATAGTATCAATCACATCAAAAAGTTCCCTCATATGTCCCGCTTGTCCAAGAGTTACGGCAATAGAATGATAAGCTACCAAGTCAGGATATGAGGACATTTCTTGCTGGAGAGAAAAGAATAAGTAAATATAATATTGGTTGGTGAAAGTACTCCTTCTCCCTTTTAACTACAAATGTCTTTCATGAGCAAAAAGCATACTGTAGATAATAACCAATTTTTGTGAATTACCAGCATTGCATGAAATACATTAAGTGCCTCCACAGGTCTCCTTGCCTTTCCAAGTACATCAAGTGCAGTTGTGTATATGTATCTGAATTTTAAAAGGGAAAACGCTTCAAATTTCTTTCAAATACAATGATTAATGACAACTAACAAGAAATACACACCACTTGATTTCTACCTTACATTACAAGAAGTACAATCCCAAGCAGCATAGATTATAATGCAATGGAATTATTCTTCAAGAAGTATTCCATCATCCCTATGAGATATTACCAAGACATTGCACTAAGTGAAAAATAAGGCACCAAAAATGACAGATGATCTGTACAGGATTCAGAAATAGTATTGGTGATACCTAGAATTTAGTCCTTAAAGTTCCATCCTCTAATTGTGACTTTTTTTTTTCTTCTGAAGAAACTGTGTTGCAGCACTAAAATTCAAGCCCACAAAAATTTACACAGAAGAATGAATCTAAATGTTGAAATGTTGAAAGGGAGTCTAAAGCTCATGAAAATTTCCATACTTTATTAAGCAGGAGTGCATGCCAATCTTTATATTTAATGCTCTAATCTTTTCATAGGCAAGAATACCTGAGCTTGTGGGATTTGAAACGCTCACGCATTTGAAGCCACTCAATGACTTGTAACACCCGTCTCCAGTTTCCTAGTTTTCCCAATAGCTGGATAACTCTCAATATTGAATGATCTGTGAATCTGATTTGTGCACTTCGCATCATCTTTGAAAACATCCACTCAGGCATGTCAATGTCTGCACCATTCAGCCTGTTAAAATAAACATTAATGAGATAATGAGAAACCCTAACTACAAAAATTAACACTTGACATGAGATATTAAGTTTGGTAAATTAGACAAAGGAAAATAGAGAAAAATCCAGGGCATGACAAGCAAAATTGCTTAAGAAGATGCCAAAGCACATGACCTCCCTAAGTAGTTCTAACAGGAAAGAACGCTGTATCAACTCACAATGACCATTCTGCAACCCAGATTCGTTAATAGGTATATTTTCCCCTTAAACGATTTATGATAGGAATTAAGTACAGAAGTAAAGTGTAGAATCAATGACTTCCATGTTGCATAAACTCCGGACTGGCGACAGTCTTATTAGTTACTTTTACGGAGTGGACTGATGAAGAAAGAAACTACAGACAACTTGTGTAACATAATACAGATGGCTAAATAATGCCAAACTTAGCTTCACTTGCAAGCTGCTCTATACCAAAGAAACTGGTAATATTAATATAGCCGAACAGAAGAACATAATAAAAACATCTAAACCATTAGGTCAATTGAAGTGAATGTCATCTTTGTTTGAAAAAAGAAAAAGAGTAGCAGTAAATTGTCATCAACAAGGTAAAGCTAATGCCATCAATCAAGAAATTAATACTTCCAATATAAGAAAAGGAAAAAGAAATAGAGTACATACCATTTTGCTAGCTTCTGGATCCTCTCCTCCATTTCCATTTGTGAAACTCGTGGCTTGTCCATAATATCACCGAATTCATCAAAATTCTTAAATGCAGCTCTTTCCACCTCCATGCTATTGTCATAATTTTTTTGGGGGAAATCCCTACCACTCTTAGTTAACTTCTCACTTCTACGAGAAAAACCTCTATCAGTGGCTTTCTCAGCATTGATGTGGTTCCTCTCAAGTCCACCTTGAATTTTAACACCAACTTTCCCTCTCTCGAAGGATTTATCTGTTGACTTGTAAACTCTTAGGTCATCTTTCACATTTCGTGCCATTGTACTTTTACCTCTGAAGTTCAACTCTGGTTCTAGCCTACCCGAATATTTTGACCTTCCATCTCTTGCCTCTCCCCTTATCTTCTTCTTTTCCTTTTCATCCCTGTTGCTCTGTCTGCTATCATATTCATCCTTAAATCCTTTAACTCCTTGTCTTTTGCTTTTTCCCATAATTCCGTTTCTATTTCCAAGTGCCTCATTTTGCTTTGCAGCTTTTGACGCCTTCTCTTGATTAGAATGCCCTTCAGACTCCCCCAATTTTACATGCTCTTCATTACCCTCAGACACCAGACTCCTGGAAACACCTCTACTCCTCAAATTATGCTTTGGATTCTGCTCTTTTGAGCTGTCCTGCTTATATCTATCACTTCTAAGTCTAACAGTCCCCATAACCTTCAAGTACTGATCAAATGATGGCTTAAATTCAAACTCTTTCTCTAGAATTTCACCACCAACCGACCTGTTATCAGACCCTTCCTTCGACACAGCACTAATAACTGTTCTTCGATTCGGAATTTTAATACCAAAACCCCGGTTCTTCTTCACATTCTTCTCATATAAGCCAACACAGAAGATGGGTCTCCGAAAAAGCGAAAACCCAGATAAAGGACCCGGCTTTGAGCTACAATTCGCAGCGAAAATATCATTTCTTTGAAAATTGGAGACGCCCAGTTGAGCATTTGTCACAATCATTCCCACCATTTTCAATTTATCCAACGAACCCAAGTAACATGATTTCAAACTTTCCTAGGCCATGTTGAGCTATGAAGAGAAGCAATTACAGAAATACATAAAAGAGAAAGCATAGAGCGAACGAACTAAGAACTTCAAGTTTAAGTAGCAAAGCAGCTCAAAGAGGAAATGGCTACCGTGAAAGCAGACAGACAGCCACGGACTCTGTCCTCCTCAGAGCAGGAGGACCCTAATAGCCGGAGAAGAGACAAACGATTATGCTCTGAAGAAGAAACTGATTGTCGCTCGAGATATCGATTGAAAACCCGGGAATGAAAATCAACGCATAACTGTTGGACTTAGAGGTGTAATAGCTTACTACTGGGGCAGGTTTAGGCCCAATAAGTGTATGAGTTAAGGCCCATACCGTGTTGTTCTTTAAATTGGGCCTGTATTATGTGTTCGGATGATTCAATCGGGCCCAATATATAGAAACACGATTCCTTTTATTTTATTTTAATACAAGCGATATTGGGCGTAGAGGATTCAAACACTATGCATGTTGAACTAAGGCAAATTATCTTCCAGTATGCTAAAGAGTGGTATTCGGCCAACAAACCAGTTACAGGAACCTCTAATCAAACTTTGACTCAGCTGTCTTGGAACAATCCCAGTCCTGGAGTTTGTAAGATTAACTCAGATGGTAGTCAGAATAACACTACTGGTCATATTGGCGCTGCAGGTGTGTTAAGAGATGCAACTGGTGCTTGGCTTAAGGGCTATTATGTGAATTTGGGTATTGGCTTTGTCCTTGAGGCTAAATTGTGGGGTATTTTCTAGGGACTTTCCCTAGCTTGGGATTCTAGGTTTTGAACTATGGAAGTGGAAAGTGATACCAAGGGTGCAGTGACTCTTCTTAATACTCTTGCTATTTCTACCCACCCCTTGTTTAGCATCATTAATTGCTGCAAATTAAAAATGAGTGCTGATTGGAATTGCTTAATTAGACACATTTTTCGTGAACAGAATTGTGCAGTTAATGCTTTAGCTGCTAAAAGTTTTGATTTTAATCCAAGTATGCATATCTTTGATGGTGTGCCAGCTTGCATTACTGACATCCTGGCTGCTAATACAAGGGGAGACTCCAAGCCTCGTCTTCTTTGTTTTTAATTGGCTTTCTTGTTTCCCTGGGCGTTAGCCCCCTTTGTAAGGAAAATACAATACTTTGGATGCAGAACTACTTGTTGTTAACTACTTAAGCTACATGCCTCTTATTTAAAATTTTAAAATTTTAAAAACTTCTATTTTATTAAACAAAGGATTTCTTAAAAAATTATTAAAATAATTAAAATATACAAAATTAGTGAGAGATAAAACCGTAATTTCATTAACAAAATTAGTAAGCGTTTTTGTTGGTGTAAATAAATTAGTCAATTTTTTATTTTTGGTAGGAAACGCAATTACAACTTAAATCCCCAACCCCCGGGTGTGGGACCCGGGCGCTGAATACGACCGTTGCACGCCCACCCTAGTATTCTTTCACTCTTCACGGAGAATGGAGAGATTCAAATTTCAAAAATTCAAAGTTGGCCAATAAAGAAAAGCTGCCACTTTACCCGCATAGCTCTCAACTGGTCTTGGAATCGGAGCTTTCATTACTACTACAAGTCCACAAGCAAGCGCCATTTCAAGCTTTACGCCTTCCTTTTGGTCCCAACAAAAATATTTGAACCTTCAAACCCCATTTCATTGCACAACACAGCTCAAATCATGAGCTCACTCTCTCAGTTCAGTATGTTTTTCAGTGTTATGTAAGGCCAGTTTGTGAAACCTCAGCTTTTGGTTGAATTTAGGACCACCCCTATTTCAGTTGAGTGCCATTTTCTTCTAGGCCCTTTGTATAATCATTTTGGTTTTTCACAATGAGAGAAGAGAACCCATCAGAAAGCAGAGCAAGATCGATCAAGTTTTCTGACCAAAATCAGATACCAAAGTGCCAGAATGTGAAGGGCAATAGCAACGCTTCAAAGTTAAGGTCTGCTTCTTCATGGGGTTCTCATATTGTGAAAGGGCTTGCAGGAGACAAGAAGACCAAGGTTCAACCCACAGTGACAAACAAGAAACCGCCGCTAATGGGCTCTGATATGGCGAACCAGAAGAACTCAATTGTGCCTTCTCATCCACGGGTCAAGCGTTCGCTCATTGGAGACTTGTCATGCTCAGTCAATGGTAATCAAGTTCATCCTCAAATGCATCCCACCCACCGGAGACAGTCCTCTAGGGACTTATTTATTGAGCTTGATCATTTGAGAAACTTACTTCGAGAATCTAAGGAAAGAGAGTTCCAGTTGCAAGCTGAGTTATCGGAGTGTAAGCGAAACCCAAAAGTTTTAGACCTTGAGAGGGAGCTTGAGGTGAAAAGGATTGAGCTTGATGGTCTAGCTCGAAAAGTTGAGTTGCTGGAAGAAGAAAAAACTAGTCTCTCTGAGCAATTATCAGCATTAACATCGATTTTGGACAGGAATGAAGGAGTGACATTGAAAAAAGAAGAACAAGAAAGTTCAGTGGCATCAGCATCAGGGAGTGTGGAAATGGAGGTTGTGGAGTTGAGGCGCCTGAACAAGGAGCTACAGCTTCAGAAGAGAAATCTTGCTTGCAAGCTTTCTTCTGTGACATCCCAGTTGGCTTCTCTAGCAAAGGCTTCTGAGGTACTATCATTTCAACTTTACTGATTGATTACTTAAATTGGGTAACTAAAGCTTTATGCTGAGCTTGGTAGTATAACTTTTAGATGATTTTCTTTTTCTTTTCTATTTTCATTAGCTTTACTGGATTATTTGAGTTAGTTGTCCTGGTTTACTTTGTTTGCTTACTGCAATTTGTATTGGTTATTATCAGAATGACATTGTTGAGAAGATCAAAGCTGAGGCATCTGCGCTAAGACATACAAATGAAGATTTGTGTAAACAAGTTGAAGGTTTACAAATGAGCAGGTTGAATGAGGTTGAGGAGCTAGCCTACCTGAGGTGGGTGAATTCGTGTTTACGAAATGAGTTGCAGAACTCCAATTCATGCTCCACAACAAATTCTGATAAGCCATTAAGCCCCGGTTCGTTTGAGAGGAGTAGTAAATCTGCTGGAGCATTGCCATCTAGAAGCAGCGAGTATTTAGAATACGGTAGTGTAAAGAGATTGAATCTAATAAAAAAACTAAAGAAATGGCCTATTGCTGATGAGGACCTGCCCAACCTAGAATGCCCAGATGGTCTCTTGGATAAAAGTTGGGTTGATTCAGAGGAAGGTAGAAGTCCTAGAAGAAGACACTCAATAAGTGGATCTAAATGCTGTGCAGAAGAGTTGGTGCAGAGTAATAAGAGAAGGCAATCTGATGGTTTTATGTGTGCTCAAGAAATGGAGAAGGATACAGAGCCAGTAGCTTCAGAAAATTTTGATTTATTCTTCGGAAATTGTCATGAAATTAACAAAATTCCAGCTTCATTAGATGTGGAGAAAAGGGCCTTGAGAATTCCAAATCCCCCTCCAAGGCCTTCATGTTCCATTTCTAGTGGAACCAAAGTGGATGGTTCTGCCCAAGTTCCACCGCCGCCGCCTCCACCACCCCCGCCACCTCCTCCCCAGTTTGCAATGAAGACTAGTACCACAGGAATGGTACAAAGAGCCCCACAAGTAGTTGAGTTTTATCATTCACTCATGAAGAGAGATTCTAGGAAGGATTCTTCAAATGGAGGAGTTTGTGATGGCCCAGATGTTGCAAATGTTCGTAGTAGCATGATTGGAGAAATTGAGAACCGATCATCACATTTGCTTGCCGTAAGCGTTCGCTTGCCAGTTGTATTTTTCTGCTTGAAGTTCATTTTCTACTAAAGCTACAGTTTTCCATTGTTAAATGCTTGCAACTTCCAAGCCTTTTTTGGCCATTGAAATCTATCCATCCAACTGCTGACAAGAGATGAAGGAAAGAAATTTAATGCTCCCATGTCTCTCAGTAATGAGAGGGAGTAGGACTAAAGTTAGTGTCTTGAAGTCATAGGTTCTCTGGTAGACTAATGCAAATTCTTATTGATTGTAATCACCATTTCTTTTGCAGATAAAGGCAGATGTTGAGACTCAAGGAGAATTTGTGAATTCGTTGATCAGAGAGGTGAACAACGCAGTTTATCAAAACATTGACGATGTTGTGGCCTTTGTGAAGTGGCTCGATGATGAACTTTGCTTTCTTGTAAGTGTGATCTCTTTCATGACCGGGGATTTCATAGCTTTGTGTGCAATATAACTTGATCTTCTGTAATCTAATGGTGGATGTGTTTCAAATGGCACTGGGAAAGCTAAGCAAATATGAACAAGGCAAAATGCTCAATATTAAATGTCCGATCTTGCTGATTCCTTACTATGCTTGCATTCTGTTGAAAAGGTGGATGAGAGGGCAGTCCTAAAGCATTTTGATTGGCCAGAAAAGAAAGCCGACACACTGCGAGAAGCAGCATTCGGTTATAGAGATCTCAAGAAATTGGAGTCTGAAGTGTCTTCATACAAGGAAGATATAAGACTGCCTTGTGATATTGCACTAAAGAAAATGGTCTCATTGTCTGAGAAGTAAGAACCTTCATTGGTGTTTTTGCTAGTAATTAATCTGTGGTAACTACAAACTTATCAAGTGTTTCCTTACCTCTTGCAGGATGGAGCGTACTGTTTATAACCTTCTCCGGATAAGGGAGCCCTTGATGCGTCATTGCAAGGAGTTTCAGATACCCACAGACTGGATGCTTGACAATGGAATTTTAAGCAAGGTAGGCTTTTGTTGATGTCTTGTCTATAAATGAAATACTCAACGCCTTTGCATCACATATATGATTCACTGCCAATCCTGCAGATAAAGTTTGGCTCAGTCAAGTTGGCAAAGATGTACATGAAGAGGGTGGCTATGGAACTTCAGTCAAAGGCGGCAGCGGAGAAAGATCCTGCTATGGATTACATGCTGCTTCAGGGAGTGAGATTTGCTTTCAGAATTCATCAGGTTAGTAACATAAGAACTAAACATAGTAAAAAAAAAAAGTGTGCGTTTTATTCCTTTTGAATATGTAGAAGATTGAGATATGTTTCTTGATTGATATGCAGTTTGCAGGGGGATTCGACGCAGACACAATGCATGCATTCGAGGAACTTCGTTACCTTGCTCATCTTCTTAACAAAAAGTAAAGAGGGAAAGGTGGTGGAAGGGGAAGGATTTAACAGAACATTTTTGGCTTACCATCTCAGTAAGCTTCATACGGGAAACGTATAATACATTCCGTAGAAAGCAATCTGGCCAGACAACGTGTTTTGTTTTGGTGTAGTTTTGAGTTTGGCTGTTAATGAGCTTGGTGTGAGAAATAGCAAAGGATTTAGGTTTGGGTTAATACTTAAAATTACAAGAAGTGAAATGATATGTTACATGTATTGCAACGCTTCTTGTAATATGTAAGTTCAGAATTATACAAACTTTTAATCCTTCAAATCCCACAAACTTTTAATCAAGAACGGCTCATTGGGTATCCAGTAAAAAAATCGACAGATTTGCTTGGCCAATACTCAGAACTCATTTTCATTTAACTATTTGCACTAAGTGCACCAATGATTTTCCAATATAATGTGACAAATTTGTACATTCTCACACTATCAACCTTTAATGGTCTAGTCATCATCCTATGGATCGCAGTCCCTAATCTTCGCATCCACTATTCTCCATAGTGTAGGCCATTGTCAAATTTGAACCAAAGCGTTCTGTACACTGCAGAAGTGAACGAGACAAAGTTAATCTTATGTGATACCACTCAAAGTCCATACTGTTTCTTCACAGCATAAAACGACTTCAAAATGCAAAACAAGAACAGAAGCAGATACATTCCCCTTGTACCCTCAATGCATATAAACTAAGACTAGCACCCATGATGACAAAGAGTAAAAGGTCTTGAGAAGAAAATGGACACATAGTTGTAACTTGTATACAACCGGTTATATCTGGGCTCAAGCCGAAACAAAAATCTATTAAATTTTTGGCTTCATAGAAGGGTTGCCTCAAAGGACTGCCCGGTATCAGGATAAAATGTTCCCGACCTTGACTGTTCAGGCACTAGGCATGAGTGTATGAACTCACCGGAGCAGGACATCCTAGTATCATGGTAAATGCAGTCACATTATATTACACATACACACTAAGCAGGACGTCCTAGTGTTCCCTTCCTACTCCTCACATCTGATATGATTCAGAAAACTCTTACACGCATTCCTCTTATAACAAACAGAAGGTCAAGATACTAATCCAACTCAAGTAATGTCGAGAATCCTGTGGCACAATAGATCAAAAAGCAAGTCGACGTGGGAGTTTTAGCAGCTTCAGTGCTCACCAGTCAATCAATATCTTAATTAGCTTTGCAAACTAAGAAACTATCAACATGGAGTAACTCAAGCTGGACAATTGCTAGCCTAAAACTATCAATTTGAATGAACATGCGTATAACCAACAATAAATGGAACTAGACTGACAAACAGTTTTTGGGCAAATACCATTTGATGAATATATCAGAATAAAACATTGCAGAGAAAAAAGCCAATAATTCAGTTATGAATGTAATTATATATAAATAAAAAAACACAAAAAGTGATTTGTGAATCACCATTCTAGTGCATCCTGGGCCAATAACCAGTTGATCGTCAACAACCCATCGCAGCTCCACAAACCCTAATCAAAGTGAGCAGCCGCAGACAAAGTAAAAGATTCGACAGGAAGCAAGAACTGCAACGGCGATATACGCAGAACACCAAATGCCAGCCGCCAACAACAATTTCAGCGCATCACAGTAGGCCATAAAAAATACCCCTCACACCTGAACCATCAATATCACATAAAAACCACCAAATTATATATAACACATCAAGCAACATACAGAAAAAATCACCAAAAAGGAAATTTTTTTTGACAAAAACTAAGGCGAGCTGATCAAAAGTTCATAGCACTGGAACGCAATATACATACATCAAATTGCTTGTAATCGATTGCCGCTTCTTCTTGATATGACACTCTGGATGATTCAATTTAGAAAAGCGAAAGCTTTGATGCAATTCCAATGCAGCAATCACAGGGAGAGAGAGAGAGAGAGACGTTTTATTTCAACTTATCAACCTTACAATAAAGGGTTTACACGAAGTGGGCTTGCCGACTTATGGGAAATCCGCAATGTTGAAAATTCAAATATGGGCCCATACTTGGGCTTACTTGTGTGGGCCTAATATGGGTTTACAAACAATATTTACAAGATACTTTTACAACGGGCCAATACACTCACAACAATGAAGCTAGCTATAATTAAGTATCGAACTCATCACAAATATATATTATCATCGTCATTCTATCATATGAGTCGAACATAAGATCTCCACAGACTAAGTAGAGACAAATACTACTATATTAAAGGGTAGTTGGTAATTTAATTTTTTAATTGAAGTAAAGAAATGTTTTGCTAGAATTATAAATAAGCATATTATTGTTTGATTATGAAGTCTAAAATTGTCGATCGGGTAAGTCCAACTGTCCAACAAACACAACAAACAAAATAGAGACTATAATGAAGAGTCTGAAGACATTGAGGAGCGACATTTTGCTCCCCATTCTTGTCGTTTGATAGAGCTCCACGCATGTTCTCAATTAGGATGGTCTATCTGGTCCACCTTAGTTTGAGTTTGTTTGGGAGGGGTTTCTTCTGTACTAAACTGAGTTTTGGTTTAGTTTTCCATCTCCTCCCTTCTTTTGTTTTTTTAAGTTGTATGGTTTGTTCCCTCCTTTTCAAGTTGAATGAATTCAGAGTTCTTTGATAAATAATAATAATAATAATAATTTTGAAGACTTCTCTTCAGGCAGAGTTAGATTTTGAAATAAATCAAACATTTTAAATGGTTAAATTTTGTTTATTTATATGATTATTTTGTATCGCTTGCATTCTTAAAAATAATATCCAACTTGTTCAAACAAATAAACAAATTTTATCCCACAATTATACTCTTTTTTTTTATGATTCAGAAAACTCTTACACGCATTCCTCTTATAACAAACAGAAGGTCAAGATACTAATCCAACTCAAGTAATGTCGAGAATCCTGTGGCACAATAGATCAAAAAGCAAGTCGACGTGGGAGTTTTAGCAGCTTCAGTGCTCACCAGTCAATCAATATCTTAATTAGCTTTGCAAACTAAGAAACTATCAACATGGAGTAACTCAAGCTGGACAATTGCTAGCCTAAAACTATCAATTTGAATGAACATGCGTATAACCAACAATAAATGGAACTAGACTGACAAACAGTTTTTGGGCAAATACCATTTGATGAATATATCAGAATAAAACATTGCAGAGAAAAAAGCCAATAATTCAGTTATGAATGTAATTATATATAAATAAAAAAACACAAAAAGTGATTTGTGAATCACCATTCTAGTGCATCCTGGGCCAATAACCAGTTGATCGTCAACAACCCATCGCAGCTCCACAAACCCTAATCAAAGTGAGCAGCCGCAGACAAAGTAAAAGATTCGACAGGAAGCAAGAACTGCAACGGCGATATACGCAGAACACCAAATGCCAGCCGCCAACAACAATTTCAGCGCATCACAGTAGGCCATAAAAAATACCCCTCACACCTGAACCATCAATATCACATAAAAACCACCAAATTATATATAACACATCAAGCAACATACAGAAAAAATCACCAAAAAGGAAATTTTTTTTGACAAAAACTAAGGCGAGCTGATCAAAAGTTCATAGCACTGGAACGCAATATACATACATCAAATTGCTTGTAATCGATTGCCGCTTCTTCTTGATATGACACTCTGGATGATTCAATTTAGAAAAGCGAAAGCTTTGATGCAATTCCAATGCAGCAATCACAGGGAGAGAGAGAGAGAGAGACGTTTTATTTCAACTTATCAACCTTACAATAAAGGGTTTACACGAAGTGGGCTTGCCGACTTATGGGAAATCCGCAATGTTGAAAATTCAAATATGGGCCCATACTTGGGCTTACTTGTGTGGGCTTACATGTGTGGGCCTAATATGGGTTTACAAACTATATTTACAAGATACTTTTACAACGGGCCAATACACTCACAACAATGAGGCTAGCTATAATTAAGTATCGAACTCATCACAAATATATATTATCATCGTCATTCTATCATATGAGTCGAACATAAGATCTCCACAGACTAAGTAGAGACAAATACTACTATATTAAAGGGTAGTTGGTAATTTAATTTTTTAATTGAAGTAAAGAAATGTTTTGCTAGAATTATAAATAAGCATATTATTGTTTGATTATGAAGTCTAAAATTGTCGATCGGGTAAGTCCAACTGTCCAACAAACACAACAAACAAAATAGAGACTATAATGAAGAGTCTGAAGACATTGAGGAGCGACATTTTGCTCCCCATTCTTGTCGTTTGATAGAGCTCCACGCATGTTCTCAATTAGGATGGTCTATCTGGTCCACCTTAGTTTGAGTTTGTTTGGGAGGGGTTTCTTCTGTACTAAACTGAGTTTTGGTTTAGTTTTCCATCTCCTCCCTTCTTTTGTTTTTTTAAGTTGTATGGTTTGTTCCCTCCTTTTCAAGTTGAATGAATTCAGAGTTCTTTGATAAATAATAATAATAATAATAATTTTGAAGACTTCTCTTCAGGCAGAGTTAGATTTTGAAATAAATCAAACATTTTAAATGGTTAAATTTTGTTTATTTATATGATTATTTTGTATCGCTTGCATTCTTAAAAATAATATCCAACTTGTTCAAACAAATAAACAAATTTTATCCCACAATTATACTCTTTTTTTTTTTTGTAAATACCACGAGGTGTCCCCACAATCGAAGGGTTGGATTAATCCCCGCTCGGGATTCAGCTTGACCCTGGCCACAAAGTGCTTCCAATAGGTTTCGAACCCTGCCATTGAGGCACTAGGTAGCTCACCAGCTGGAGGTGGCAGTTTGTCAAACATACCACACCTTGTAGTTCCACAATTATACTTTCAGCTCTATACTATATTTAAAGTTTATGAATCAAAGTATATGTTTCAAATCACCTATCCGTATAAGAGAACTTCCACCGGGCAAAAGGCAGCCAAGTCTTGAATTAATGCCCACAACAAGAAAGGTTAGACTGGGCAAGAATGGGCTTCATTTACCCAAGCCAACCCAAAGGCAAGAATTGCCTGGGTTTGCTGATGTTAGCTTGACATCAATGACCAATTTAAATACCAAAAAAATGATAATAATAATAAAAAAAACCAAAAAATTCAGAATTTCTTTTTTTAAATACCTAGGCATGTTCTTCAATTCCCACACCAAAACTCCATACAAATTCCTTTCCTCATATCTCATGTGAATAGTGTTTGTCTTTACTTGCCATGGCAATGGGTGGAAAAGCAAAATTAAAAAGGGTAGGGCAGACACATGAATAGTGGCTACCCTTACTTGCCCTTGCCCTTTACCATGGCACAATGAGTGGAAGTTCTCTAAA